GTCTTTTCGGGACACTAATGTAAGGATGTAAAGCATCTCAATTCAGCTCTTTCTAAAATTAGCAGTTGAGTAAAGTGTGGTTGAAAGAAGTTCTCTACATTTTTAATGATGTTTGTGGGACATTTTATGTTATTGGAAAAGTATTATAATGCATAGTTGTTAATTGATCTGTCACATTTCTGTTTTTCAGTTACACAAACATTTCATCGTAATTTAATAAATATAAATTTGACCATAATCATTAAATATTAAATAGTTATTATAATACATTTTATATGTTTATAACATATAATATTATTAATTTAGTTTATTTTTATTATTATTAAATTTAGGTTTTATATGATAACAACAAATAACTATTATATATTTTGTATTAATACAATTATTGTTGTTGTTGATGTTGTTATTATTTTTATAATTATAATGTCAAAAAATTCCACCTGAACTTTCTACAATAATAATAATAATTGTGATTTTAATATTATTAAAAATTATATCTATCGTTGTTCTGTTCTGTTCTTCATTGTTGTATTCTGTTGCTAAAAATATAATGTAAACCAATACATACATTGTTGATCTCTGTGATGCCCATGGAAATCAGATATGAATATTGCAGTCTCAGTTTGGGCACTGAGTTTAGACTCATCATTCCTTAGTCATGGACCTCATGCAGAAAGTCTTTGTGTTGTTAGTTTAGGCCATTATGATTCTAATAGCAGCCCGAGACCTCAGAGTCATCCATCAGGCCTGGCAGGGCAGCAGAGCCATTGTCCCATAGATTTGGGCTTTCTGTCCTGCCCGTCACCATCACACCCTGAGGCCAACACCCCGATACTTGTGGGTCATTTGAAATGGTCAAAGCTTATCAAAGATTGTTGAGGTGAACCAAATTGTTTTATCCAATTTCATCACTTTTCTGAGAGATATTTTAGTTGACAAGATGATTGCCGTATGATGAACTTGAGTGCAAGAGTGAGTGAGCTACGCATCTCAGCTTCTGACGTCACCCTTACTTTTCAATGACCCATGCAATCTAAACTCTCTTCAGACAGATTCAGCATGGAGAATGGAGACTTGAGTTAGTGTTATCTGAAATCAAAGCAAAGAAGGGTTGGCCAGAGAGCCATGAGCAGAACTTTAGCAATTTTACTGTATTATCACACCTTAAAGGGACAGTTCACCCAAAAATGAAACTTTTGTCATCAATTACTCATCCTCATGTAATTCCAAACCAACTTTTCTTTTCCTACAGGACAAAAGAAAAATTTTGTAGACTGCCTTCAATGTTTTAATGTGAAAAAAAGGACACAAAAACATTATGAAGTAATGTATCAATACTATACTCACTAAATAAAAACATGCACTATATTCCAAGTTTTCTGAAGCCATATGATAGCTTTGTGTAAGAAGCATACTGAAATGTAAGCATACAGGATTGTTATGACAGAAATTATGGCAGAAATCTCATTGTTGGGTGAATTGTCCCTGTCGGACATAGTACCAGTTGCTTTAGAAACTGAAAAATCCAGAGAAAAGCACTTAGCTTTGGATATCACAGCATAAATCACATCCTTTCATTTAGTTAGTTGGAAGAGACAGACAGCAGAGAAAGCTGTCAATACACAATGACTGACGAGCTCCATTTTTGGCGCCATCTTTCCCCTCTAAAGACACGCTGAGGCTAACCCTGCGTCAGTGTGAGGTCCATTTATCAGCTCACTTTTAATTGCAAACAGTGGGTGTTCCTCAGAGCTGCTTTACTTTGTGCTGATCAAGCTAATATTGTAATTTTATGACCTTTAACCCACTACATCCTCAGTGGATTTTGTGGCCTGCCCTCCACCAGCATAACATCAACACTTTTGTAATGCCACTATAACAGAATGCCATCGACCCCCCTCGCAGGGTTTTTTTTAACTGCTAATTTCAGTGCATCCGTTAAACCACATCTTGTACTGTTCTTGGTCAGAGATTCCTGTGTTTGCTTTTAACATTTTTTGTCATCACTCACTTTTAATGATTCTGTGTTGTTGAGCGAGTCATCACCAAACCTGAACACATTTCTAAGAGAACAACATGGCTTAGTCATCAGAAGATTCAGATGATTTAGATGTCTTGTTATTGGTGGATTGTCAGCCATTTATATTATAATATGTTATTTATTATATATAATCCATAATAATTCATAATATTAAGCACGTTTCAGATGAAAAAACGCGACCTCTATTTCTGAAAATATCAGTTAGGAGCTTTATAACGAGTGGTTCCCTACATTATTACAGCAAAGCACGTGATTACAGTACTAAGCCGCTGCAATGGAGCAGCTCTAATG